AAAGTTCTCTTCTATATTAGCTATGAGATTTCCCACCGTCGGACCACCGCAAGTGTATCAAGTACAAATTCTGACGATGGAAATTATCTGAACACTATGGATGACGGCTCCGGACAAAGTGTGCTTATCTAGACTTTCCCAACAACAGGAAGAAGTTGCGAAAACGAGGTCAAACTACTCCTAAAATCTATTCTTTTTCTCATTTTTCTACCTCAATTATAAGGTAGGATTGGCTAAATCCACATTATAAGCAGCTTAGATTCAGTCTAAACGTTGCCCCAGTAGTGTCATTAACTATGGCTAAGAAATGTGACCAAATTCTTTTTTAATACAAATAGCTTTAAGTTTATTCTGGAATATTATACTACTATGTTGTGTTGTGAGTAGGGAAGACTCATCATATGAAATGTCGAATATTTGTCATTTTAAAGTACTTCATTTACTCGAATTAAATCATGTCTAATGATGTGTAAGAATATGGGGACTAAATAGGTTTACTTCCACCATTCAAGTCTTGCTTACGGTGGATCCTAGGCGAGATGAAAGCTACTTCAACTAGTCGTTTTCCCCACTGGTCAGCGAAGGAGACGCGCCGATGGGGAGCACTTTTCTTCGCCTTGGCGGCATCTTCTGTCTCCACGGAGCTGTTTTTACTGAAGTCTGTCCGAGCGGAAGCGGCGAGCTCTGATTCATCAGGGCCTGGCTTGCAGCCGACTTGACTGTTCGGTGCAGAGGTGCCTGAACTTTGCGTGTCCAAGCCTACAGAGTGCATAACTGTACAGTCAAGATCATGGTGGCTAGGAGCCGTTGGCCGGTTAAGCTCGGTTTTGGGCCACTGCGATAAAGGGCTTGATTCCATGACACTGACCACCGAATAAGTTTGTAAAAAGGGTAGAGATTGGTATCTAGAAATTAGCTGAAATCGTACTTTAAATGCGGGCATATTCAAGCCTGCCTAATATGAAACTCAAATCAGTGACTAGAAAGGGACAAATATGGAAAAACAGCTTGAGAACTGCCAAGGGTTTTTGGTGTCTTAAGGCATCTGTCATGTCTTATGGTCAGCTTTGGTTCGTCATGTAAATGACATCGTCAGAGTTAGAAACAATATCTTAAGAAAAAGAGTGTCAATATACTGAGCCAGACTGGGCATTAACTTTTATATAACTCTGAGCTACAAGACAAAATACAATTTCATCGCAAATGAAAATTTCTGCTTAGTTTATCAGTTCACTTCCCTTAATCTAATATGGCCTAAATTCTATCATTGCTGACCGAAAGCCTTTAGCTTTCAGTATACAACATCGTTGAGCATGATCTAAGCCTCATACAAGTTGACAAAGTGTAAATGCTATCTCTGGGATTAGCTGAGACGTGAAAATAGCCGCTGAAATATTCGTGAAAAAGTCCTGCAATGTAATTAGTTTATGAAGTTTGCTTACGTTTAGACTATCGTCAACCCGGTTAACTTATACGTGTAATACAAGTCTTTTTTCAAGCCTTAAACTCGCCTTTCGCTCCCTTCATTGCGACATCTATGTCTAGAGTAGTTTAAATAGCATTATAGCTAATTCAGTATTATTTCTACTGTAATTATATACGCAGCATTAAGCATAATTATTAGATTTTGATACTATCAGTAAGCTTGGTGATAATCCTTTAGCCACGATAATACCGATTCGGATTCTTAAGTGGGTACACAATTTGTGAGATGCTTTTATAGGGTCTTTAATGGTTCTATCACTACCAAAATAACGAAGAGATTTGATTTTACCCTGTGATTCACACTGCAGCTCATACATCAGGTTGGAATTGAACCATGGGCCTGAGTCATAGAGAGTTTTAATTCCCTAAAATAGTGGCAAATTTCTTGTTTTACACTTGTATAAAACCCAAAATATACAAACACTGCTTGTCTAGAAGGTATAAGAAACATGGTTTGTGACACCCTGTATTGGCTGATGGAAGCTGGTAGAGGTCGAATCTGTAGTTCGTCTTGAGGATAAACGATATTTTAGGGTGTGCGGGTCCTTCGTTCGAGCATTATTCTCAATTTATCGGTCTCGTTTAAGCATTGTAAATGCAAATTAATTAATATTCTTCTTTGTTAGTGAGTAATTCAGTATTTTTATTAATTAATTACAATTAATATTAGCTATAATAATGTTAACTAAAGTATATAATTATATATATATATAATATTGCTATTAAAAACTTATTTACTATTAGCAATTAATTATTATTACAAATTATGTATTCTAGCAGCAAAAATGCATCAGTCTTTTAATAGGGAATTGCGTAAGCAGTTTAAGTCCAGAAAATTGTAGATATCCGATGATACTGCCCAAGATTGGCATTCAACCTATAAGTACGTTTAGTTAATTATGTCCCTAAGGTAGGTGAATAATTTCATGAATTATGACATTTTGACTACTCTAGACATTCCTGATCTAACAATGTGGCATCGAGCCATTTCGTAAAAATGTACTTTACTCCCATTTACTCAGATATTTTACAAGAGAGTGGCTTCTTCCTTACAGGATCAAAGATTAAGTTGAGCTTAGTGCCTTGGAACACAGGCTGCTGGAAGTAATGATATTAGCCAGCTTTCTCGATTGTTTTCACTTGCAACGATCTCCCAGACTTCATGGCCGTGCTGCTTATGCTTACTACTTAGTAGTCATCGAGTGGGCCATTAAAAAAACTCGGAAGTTCAACTTTGTTTCTTGAGCTAATCGAGAGGCCAGCACTGTCTACATCAGCTTGGACTAGGATGAAATAGATTCATTCGATTTTTCGTTTATAAGCAAGTTTTTGAGACTACCAGTTGAGCATATATTTGAGATGTATTCACTTCATTTCGTTTCAGGTGAAAGGAGGACTGGTAGTTGAATATTTAACATGGCTTTGCTTTCCCAAAAATTGTTATCATCCAGGATGGACTGCAGTTTCGAGCTTGCATGGGTCGAGAAAACTCGTTAACTTGAATTTTGTTGTGACGATGATACCTTGCTCTGATGATGTTCGTCATATGACGGACGAAAGCTTAGCATCCGGAATCAAAGGAGATTACCTTGGAAACAACGTCAGCATGAATATTACAGTAAAGCCAATCGACAGCTGGTCAAGAGGAATCCGCCGTCGTCTTCTGGTGGAACTGACCTTCGA